CGTGGGGGGCCGCCTGAGGTAACGCTGCCCAGGAGGGGCGGGGGAAAGGCGCTCCCCCGCCTTGTCACGCGTGGGTGAGTGATTCCCAGCTCTTGGCTCTGAAGGTTTTCCGAAATTGGCGTCTTTTTTGGGTCGCAGTCCGTGTGCTGGAAGAGTAAATAAACCCTTATGGTGGGGGGAGGTAACTCGCCAGACTTGTTGAGTGGTGATTTTGAGGGTTAATTGCCTTCACAGTGACGGAAAAAGTTGTGTTGCTTTAGTCAGAGTTTATTAATTGTGAGCGTCCAGACCCTGGAATTTTTTTTATGCTTTTTCAGGTAAGAATTGAAAAGAAACGAAGGTGAAAGGTGCAGGAAGCATGTCTCTGATAACAAGAGCTTATTCTAAAAAGCTTATCCATTCAAAGGGATAGAGAAGCAGCCAGCACTGGCTGTTACGAGACCTTAGGAAGTTTGGGTCAGACTTTGAAAAATATTTCTTCATGACACTATTATGTGACCATGTAATCTGTAAGTACAATTACTAAACGTGGCATATAGTTGATTTTTTCAAAGCACTTCCCTCCTTGCCATCCTTATTGTAGTTCCTATGGATGGGAATTGCCGTTTTGCTAGTTTTCCTGATGTTATTTTAGTATTATGGTAGCACGGAAGAGGTAAAATCTGTCTACATTCATGTGCTGGTTTTAAATTTTGTGCCTGATTTTCCTGGACAAATAGCAGGTGAAGGGAAAGAAGAAAAAGAAATGCAGTAAACTTTATTTTAGATGATTAAGTAGATACATAATATGTAGCTGGAGGTAGTACATACAATACAATACATTTACAAATAGGTGTTTTAAATATTTTGAATACAGAGACATGAATTATTAACTCTGAGCAAGCATAGATCCAATAAAAAGTTAATGTTCAAACTTGACTTACTTTTTTTAATATCTATATGCTTTTTTAATATCTATATGCTTTCAGTTGCCTGGTGTATTTGCTTAAGTTGCAGTCTACCTAGCTGACTGTAATTATTCAGAATAGCTTTTATGAAAACTTCCAGTTAAAGTTCCAGAAAAAGGTTATGAAAAACGAAAATCTTCTTGAAAGTAAAAATACTTTTGGGGAGACATATTCAGACAGTAGTTGAGTGTATAGCAGCAGTATGTTTAATATTAATGAATAATACAGTGTTTTGGGGATGCAAATACATCCAAGATTTAAAGATGCAAGAGCTAAAGGAAGAGCTGATTGATAGCTGAAAAAGTTTGATAGAGCTAACACTTTTATTAATACACCATTTGGAAAATATTCTGTTTTCCAAAAAACATGAAAAATATGCTGTTTACACCTTGTAGTTTTGTGGGCATATGGGTTGTCTGTGGGTTTTCAAATGTTTACAGCATGTTCTGACTCTGACTTCTGCTCTGTGCATGTGCCCATGAAGCAGTGTCTCCAAGTTTAGTTTCGAATCTGCTACTTTTACTAGTAATTGCAGGGGTCTAGGAATGCACAAAATGCATTCAGGTGTGTTGTTAAACTGAAACCAGATTATTTTGTTTTGAAGTGGTTTTATGGTGTCAGGCTTTACCTTGGTACGTTTGTGCAGTCATATGAAGCCGGATCTAAGTTAACGGTTTGCTGTGAGTTTAGCGCTGTCATCTCCAAGATCATACACTGAGTAACGAGGGACTGCCATAGCACTCTTTTCAGATAGAAATGTATTGTTTCTTTATTGTGATTAGTCCTGATCTCTTCACTTGATACAGTAGATGATAAAAATTGATTAATATTCAGTAAGATATTTGCTTACATGCTGGTATATTTTCTCAACTTGGAAGTGTATGCATCACATTCAATTTGTCAGTCTTTTGCTTAGAACATGTAAGAATTTTTGATTTTTCTTTTTCAGTATAATATGCTCTTTTTGCTTATCTCGTAAAGTTTGCACTTTTGCATATTTTAAGAAGATCAACTAAAGCAGAAGGATGTAAGACATAAATGTCTAGCTATTTTCTAAGAGGCATTTCGCCACTTTTCCTGGCTATTTAGCTGTATTAAAGGTATGCTGAATCAACAGTGCTGTAGCATTAGTTGTCTCAGTGTTCTTAAAGGCCTGGAGTTGTGAGCTTTCTTCACACCAATTGAATTGCCTGTGTAGTTCAACTGTAACTACTTTGTCTTTGTTTTTTAATTTATTGCTCTTTTGAGTGATGTGATAGAGGAGTGCAGAATGCTGGAATATTCATTGTGTTCCTCGTGCTAGATAGAAAATGTACTGCAAATATTCCTTTCCTTATACCGTCTCCCAGAATAGGTTTGGTACCATTCCAATACTGTGATTTGGAACCGGTTCTAGAGTTCATAAATGTTATTGTAGATAGAGGTAAGAAATGCAGGTGTTAATGTCAGTGGGCTTTTGGAAAGGCTTTTCACAGTGCTGCCTCTTACATGCGGTAATTTTCCTTTTGGTGGCTATGCAGCACTGGATAAATGATGAGACCAGCTTTTAAATTCTTTAGTAGGACTAGTTGTTTCACCTGTTCAGAACAGTTTTTTCATTATTCTTATGTAACCTAGTAGGCTAAATAAAATTTATCAGTGCCTGGTAACTTACCCTCTTTTAGATGTCTTTTGTCTTTTATCAGTGAGCAAAACTAATGAGATTACAGATTTAGGACGAATGAGATGGGGGAATTTATTTTTGGAATTGATTGTCCTGTGTTACCACTAGTAGTTTTGAAGAAGTTGTACTAGTTCTGCCTCCTTTGTAACAATATTATGATTTTATATTATGAATCAAAAAATGGCATTAATGTAAGAGAAAAAAGTTTAAAGGAATACATTTTAAGGAATACATCAAGCAGACGTGTTCCTTAAATTAAGGTAGCGTGCAGTTACTTGAATTTATCTGATGGAAATTTGACATTCCATTCTGAGGGAATTTTGACATTTTTTCTCTTCATCTTCTAGTAAGCGTTTACCTCGGTCTCTCTGGACACATTATGTTTACCTATACAGTATCTTACTCTGCTGGTCTTTGGGCTGTGGGGTTTTTGTTTTTGTTTTTTTTAATTCTTTGATCCTCTTCCTGAAAGTGTTTTCAAATATAGTTTTATCATTGGTCTATTCTTTACCTCATACAATCTGTAGGCTTTAGAAAGATACCGAATTAGCCTCTGTAAAACTGCTGTACTATCTGAGTTTAGATACTGTGTGTCATGGGGTTGCTTAGGAACCTGCATAAGCAATCCTGTTGCTTGAGTTGTGTGGATAGTATTAGAGGGATTTGAGGGTATTACTTTTCTTCTCAGTTTCATGCTTCCTTTAAGTGTGGAGTCTAACTTACGGATTTTTTTTTTTATCTGTGGGCTTGGTTTTGCAAAACTCCTCCAGTGGAGTTGGGGAAAATGCTGAGTAGAGATAGGGATGAGTAGGCTTGTATGCAGTCATTCTTGTTGATTTTGTCTTTCTTCTTTCCATGGTTACTTAGTGTGCGGCTTTGCAGTGTTTTACTTCTGACAAGAACTAGGGAGAGACCTTACTGCGGCCTTTCAGTACTTAAAGGGGGCCTATAGGAAACGGGGACAACTTTTTTAGCAGGGCCTGTTACTATAGCACAAGGAGCAGTGATTTTAAACTAAAAGAGGGTAGAATTAGACTGGATATAAGGAAGAGATTTTTTTATGATTAGGATGGTGAAACACTGGAACAGGTTGCCCAGAGAAGTAGTGCAAGCCCCATCCCTGGAAACATTCGAGGCCGGGTTGGACGGGGCTCTGAGCAACCTGATCTAGTTGAAGATGTCCCTGCTCGTTGCAGTGAGGTTGGACCTTTAGAGGTCCCTTCCAACCCAAACTATTCTATGATAAGGCTATCCTAACAAAGAATATTCGAAGTCTGAGTGTGTGCTCTAACTTCTGTACAGTTCCATTGTTATGTATTTGATGCACTTTAATTTTTATTATGAGGTTATCTAGGAGCAGCCATGTACAATAAATTGCACAAATAAGATGCTAAAATTTCTGCTCTGAAGGGTTTTCAGTTAAATAGGTGAGATGCACAACTAATGGAAGAGACAATCAGCTGTTCCTCAGTACATGTTTTCGTAGAGATGAGTGACTTGTCTCATGGCAAGTCAATGCTGCCTGATGTCTACGATCTTACAATAGTTGCAGAATTGTAGCTGTTCTTACCGCCTCTTCTGTTTTATTGGTACAGGAGGTAATGATACACTGTTGGCTCCAACTCCTGAAACACTGTAGGTGTATTTTGTGGTTTGTGGGTTTTTTTTGTTTGCTTGGTTTTTTGCTTTGTTGTTTTATGTGATTTTTTTATTGTTTTGAATAAGCTTAATAATTAAGATGTCTCGCGGAAGTAAATTAAGCGCAGAATGGATTGTATGATTTGGTGCTTATCTTAGAGTATATGTATATTTTGCACTTTTTGTACTTTTTTGTCTAACAATCCCTTTATCCTGTTTATTTTTTCATGTTTAATTTTGATTTTATGATTCACTAACAATAAGATTGTGCAAGCGTGTAGTGAAGGGCTGTTGGTAGACCTGTAGTTAAAAAAACCAACCCCAACACACTTTAGAGAAATATCTTCAGTCTTATAATATGGAATCTTTGAAGTTGCTCTCTGGTGAAATATCAAGTAATCTTCTCCATGGATGTGTTTCCTGAGTTAGGTGTTTTTTTGACCCAGGAAACGTCTTAAGGCTTGTAGTTCTGAGGGAGAAACTTGAATGCTACTTAACTGCTGTCTTAAGCAACTGTAATTGAGCTTTAAATGTTAGAGGCTCTGATGTAGAGGCAATGTTCTATTTCTTTTCTATAACCTTAGAAATGATGGCGGATGATTTAGACAAATTTATTGAAGATCAGAAGGCCAAGTTGGCACAAGATAAGGCAGAACTTGAAAATAATCCACCTTACATGGAAATGAGGGTAAGAGTATTCAATAATTTTCCCAGATTGCAACACTGCTATTGCTGTGGTCTTGATTTAAGCTTGCTTTTACTGTGCTCTTAAATCTGCATTTGTTATTGAAGTATATATTAAAGATTTATCTGTTCAAAGTAATTTCTAACTTAAATACTTTGTATTTATGTAGATTTTTAAAAACTTGTTGCCCCCAGGCATACACAGTAACATTTGTATTTTACAAGTGGGAAAACTCTTGTAAATGGTGATCGTTGTTCCTTCCGTCCTCCCTAGGGAAGCTGACTAGCAGGGATCTCCTCTCTGGTTACTCCAGAGCATGGGTGTTGAGATGGGGATGGAAGGTATAAATACCCTCAAAATTTCTGTTACAGAAACTAGGAAATATAAAAGGCAAATTACTTAATCCATTTGATTAAACAAAATCTGTTATTGTCACAACTTTCCTATTAGAAATTTTAGAACCTGTCCTGGGTTTGGCCAGAACAGGGTTAATTTTCACCGGAATCCAGGAAGGGGCACAGCCGGGGGGTGGGGGCTGACCCCACCTGGCCAAACAGAGCCCGGTATTCCATACCATGTGCCGTCACGCTGGGTTCCGGTGGGGGGGGGCGGTGCGGCGGGAAGGGACTCGCGGCTTGGGCGGGCGCAGCGCCGGTCCGGTTTCGGGAGAGCGGCTGTTGTACGGTTCGTGGTTGTGTTTTCTCCTTATTTGT